GTTTATGAGCTATAATAGATTGTTTGATAAAATCTACTTGGAAGCTACAAAGTCTATAATATAATGCAATATAACTGCAGTGTTCGGAACTTCAGAACGCTAATTTCGTCTTGTAGGAGAACATTATTGTAAACAGCAACACGGATAGAAAAATACAAAAACGCTTAATCTAATAATCAGATTTTAAATCATAAAAATGCGGTAACTAAAAAAAAGAACATTTAATGTATTTCTAAGCAATACTTTTAGCGAAATTAATGTATTATTTCATTGTTTTTCATGCTGATTTATTACTTTTTGCTCGCCTGTTTTGTCTGTCACAATTGTTATGAGTAAAAGTACCGTTTGAGTATTCGTTCGTTGATGGGTTCATGCTGTTTTTAATATATATTTGAATATATTGTGTTTAATTACTAGATTAAAACAATATTTAATTATGTACTTAAAATACTAACCTTGTCCTCTAGTTGTTTTCACCCACTTTCTCTCCATATCGGGCCACTTGAAAATTCGCGAAAACTTATTCCGTTTTCCTAGCAATGAATGGGTACAAGTTAAATCCAGTTCAAACTTAAAAAGACGGTAATCTTTTGTCTAAATTCCTTGTCTTTTCACTTATTTTTTTAAAAATATAAACAGCACTTTCAATTGCCTCCACGTCAGACTTTTAGTGCCATCTCTCGGAAAATTTCATTGAGCGTGACGGACAGACATGAAGAGCATTCGGTATAACCATACATGATTGAAACATTATTCTGAACACATTTTAACAGAATTACTGCTATTTTTAGATATTGCTTATTTCATTTTGAAACGAATTTCATAAGATCCCACATAAAATACCAATATATCTTTTTGGAAATTCATACACACTTCATTAATTTCTAAATTAAAATTTTATGATGATTCATGTGACTGGGATAATGTTCATCAATTAATTAAAATTTATGAAAGATGAATATAGCGTGGTATCCCCATTAGTTACGCCATTGCAATGAACGATTTAATTGAAATTCAAACATCTATTTCTTTATGATCATTCACTTCTTTTTTTATTGACACTTAAATGCATTTGGAAGTTTCTTAATTACTATTCTGATAAAAAAAAATAGCCATGTGATGATGTTTTATTTTACTTGTGTGGTGGTTTCGGGTTCGAATTCCGTTCAATCTTTACAAAATATGGGCATTCTCCTCGACAAACTACGCGAAAATCCATGATACTGTAAGAGCGACAAATCATTGTTTCGGCCGCCATGTCTAAAACAAGTCTATTTGTATTTTGTACTAAAAATCTTTATAATACTCATTTCTACGGGGAGTTTATGAATGCTTTATATAAAAATTCTGAGAATAACTACGCTCATTGCTGATGGCCAGATGGCTGAACAGTTAAGGTGACAGTCAACATTTCTGGGGCCTCGGAATCGGATCCGGATGGATCGAAACCCCACGAATTTTCGGTTAAGGCGGTAAACACATCAGCTTACTGCTCTAGGGGTCCAGATTCGAGTCTGAATGGAATCCTCAGGAAAATTCTAGGTACTGACGATCAGACGGATATATTGGGCCCATGCCTTTCTATATTGTGCTTCTGGCCAAACTTACAATAGGTATGCAAAGTAAGCCGAATTAATGCCCAGAGGAAGGAGTTAAAATAAAATTTTTTGATCACATCAGCACACGTTGCTATCTTTTTGTAATAAATAAATTTATTATATTACTTTAAAGTTTAATTGCAATTCTTAATCAGAATTGAAATTATTATGCTTTGTTGTTATTTTGCTTTTTACAATAAAAAAACTTAAATGTACAAAATATAATATGAATTAATACATTATCATTAATATAAGGCGAAACTGTGGCTAATTTATAATTAACTAAGTACAAAATTTGGCAAAAAGATAGTTGTGCTGCCCTCTGGAGTGAATATTAATAATTAGAAACTGATTTTCAATTTAAATTGATTTTAAAATTCTAGAGTAAATATTAATAATTATAAAATGATTTAAAGTTCTAGAGCAATCTTACATTTTGATGTTACCTGTTAAATTACCCGAATCTCGTTTCCTCCATTTCCAGACACAATTTACCGAATTAAATTCTAATTAATAATATTTACACGAGATGGCAGCACTAATTCTATCTTTATCTACATACCAGATTTTATTTTGAATTTACTAATCAACTGTAATTAAGCACAAAATTAGCCTGACGTTTAAGGCCCAAACTGTGTTTATTACAATAAAATTTTCTACACTTTTTGGTCCAAAATAAATCATTTTAAAAGATTTATAGAATTTAATGTATTAAATAATAGTTTAGTTTCAGATCATAAAGATATTAAGTTAAATTAATATGTAAGGATACAGTTATGTCTTTCATGAAATATTTTTAATAATATCATATATGTAAATTCAGTTCCATGAAATAAAGATGTTTTAAGTTCAAAAAATACAAAGTGCCACAAAGTTATTGTAGAATTTTGTGGGCACCTTATACTTTTATGCTGTGTATCTTACTTTCATAAGTTTATGTCTTGGATCTCTGAATTGTTCTTCATTTTTGACCCTACCTGGTTAATATTAACTTAAAAAGACTTTTCTGTCCATCATGATTTTGCAAAGCCCATAATAGATGCAACCAGGTGCCGAGAAATAGATCTTGGATATCTGGGAGAAACTGCTTGCTTATAAAAAAATTCCTGATGTTGCTATTTGTATTTGCTCAGTTACAGAATATGGGATGATAGATTCTGTGAAGAATGGATCGGAGGTGGATCAAATGCACTGTGGGTTAATTACATTATTAAATTAAATCATAAACAAATAAATAAATCTGTATTTAATGGTTTTGTTTCCACCAAATAGTCAGTGTTGTCTGAAACTTAAACTTTATGTTATGCCAAAAAGACCATACTTGAGACAATCAGAAACAGAATGTTTACAGACTACACTGAAGGTTTAGTCTTGAGTTGTTTGCATAGTAATATTGAGAGTATCATGTGGTACGAACCGATTCGGTGCAACTATTTGTCGGCACTTTCAATACATTTATGCTGTTGCAGATGTGATTCGCGAGTAAGCCTCCCGGTCTGGTTGTTTTGGTAATATGTCAAACGTTTTAATTATTTTAAATAAACATTTTAATTGTAACATTTACCAATTGGTATCCACTAGGGTTCCTTTTACCAAAGCCATTTTCTAATAAGTCCATATTTCCGGCGACCAATTACGAACCACGATGCACCGTTTCACCAATATATATATTTATTATTCCATTTGTTGTTACAATTTTAATTTAAACCACAGCTGGACTTATTAGAAAATGACTTTAGTAAAAGGAAACCTAGAAGATACATATTAGTAATATTACAATTAAAAAAATTTAGATTCTACTAATCAAAATATATTTTTCTTGTTTCTTTCAGTGGACACAATATAATATAGTTTGTTTAAAAAGTAACTGTGCAGCGAGAAAGTTGTAATGACATTGAAGTTATATGTACGTTATTGCAGCGTTTCTCAAACTATGAGTCGTGACCCGATATTGGATCGTGTTAAAATTTTAATGGGTTGTGAAATGATACTACCTTCCATAGAAATACTTGTAATACTTGTATTACTGAAATATTCTGTAAGAACTAAGAACATTAGATGCATCCGTTAAGTACCGAAAATTGCTAAGAACTTTTCTCTTATAAGTAATATTATTGTCATTTAGTAATAAAGTTAAGGTCTGAGAATTTGTGTATATGAAATTGATTTCTCTTTTTTATGTTGAATAACATCAAAATAGAAAATCATTACATATAATGTCATAGTCATAATGCTATTTAAGTTGCAATGGTTTTGAAAATATTTCCTTGTTTATTGTCATACATAACAATATATTATAAAAAATAAATAATGGAAGAATTTTGTCACAAGTGGATCAATAAATGATTATTTTTGTATGTACACAAAATGAAACTGACAAAATATTCTTATAATCTGAAAGGTATATTTTAAAAAAGGATTCATTAAGTTTTCAAAGTAAAACAGGTCAACTCCTGAGGTTGGTTGGTTGGTTGGTTGGTTTTTTTTGGCACAAGCCATATAGGCCAAGCTGCGCCATCAAACCCCCTAAATAATTTCATAACAGTCTGTTTTATTAGAACTGTTGGTCTTATATTTTTTAATAGTTAAATTTCAATAATAAAAACTAAAATTGAAGTAAGTTATTCGTTACGAATCAAAATTGGCCCGAACTGCTCTTAACAGAAATGTACTCAATGTTACATTTCAAACACAAAAGTTATTATCAATAATGCATAATTTTGTTTTGTTATATAATATACGGTGACTACAGCTTTCCAGGCCTTTTAAAAATTTTATTATAAGCATTTGGATCATGGAACCATTACAAACAAAATATTGGGTCACAAGTAAAAAGTTTGAGAAGGGCTGCAGTATTGCATACAAGAACTATATTATTTGCAAAAATTGTATACAAGACCTATATATTGTCTATTTGATACCAGTTGACAAGTTATATGTATGGTATTGCATACAACTTGCAATACTACACACATAACTTGTCAACCAGTATTGAATGGACAATTCAGGTTTTGTATGCAATACCATACATATAACTTTAATGGCATCACAAATTTTTCATTGTATGGTAACTTTTCGGACACTCTGTAAAAACGCCAGGATACACTAATTTATACTGAATGGAATTTGCTAGCAAAATGTGAAAAGCAAAGCAATATTCATATCATTAGCAACATTGTTTCCAAAATATATTTGTGCTTAGAAAATCACATTGTTAATCCAACATTTGAACTTCATTAGCAAAAAGTATTCCCACTACTAGAATTAGAACTGTGAAGAATCACCAAGCGAACCCCATAAACACTTTTCCAGCAAACATTTTATTAAGATAAGCCAAAACGTTCATTTTCTAAATAAAACTGCTGGAAAAGTATTTATGACATTTGCTTGACAAATATTCCCACCAATCAGAATAGCAGATTTATTGACAGAAAGAGAGAGGCAAAATTCAAGATGGCAGCAACAAAAATAGTACGTTCAACCTATGATGCGGAACAATTTTCGACTGAAATAAGTAATGCTCCGTTACTGTTTTTTGTTTTCACACCTTTATTTTTTAATACATAGATGCAAGACTTGCTGTTATCGGCACCATTCATGAATTCCAAAAAGCCAAAAGTTCCATCTTACAAAATATAGATTCTGAAGGGTGAAGAAATATATGCTGTATAATAAATTTCACCTATGATCAGGGTTTCTTGGATACTATATAAATCATCTTATTAATAAATTCATTTTATTCTGTCTTCCACAATACTGTAGATTATACCAACAAAATCAGCCTTAATTCAGGAATCTAAATAAATATTTATGCATTTGAATGCTTTTGAAGGATGTAACTTCATCTTTAGAGTTTCAAAGGATGAAGTGAATGAAAGAATGGTGTTGAAGGCTCCATGCATCACTATGATGGTTCTTTACGGGATCTCGTCATGGGCTGTCGAGATGACGAACCTCCCGGCACATCTCTCTTCTAGTCATGTATAGAATTGTAACTAAATTTTTATCATTGACAAATATTTTTGTTAGTATTCAAAGTAGTTTCGAGCACTTTAGTGATCTGTATGTTGCTGTATAAATTGCTTATATCATACAGTATTTTACAAAGCATGTAATGATAAAACATTTTATTAAACAAACCTATGAATAAAGAAATTAAATCACGAGTACAGTTTTTTGTTAAATTAAAAACCTAGACTGAACTCAAACTTAAATTAGTTCGAATGACTTATTTACCTTTTACCTATTTTCAATAGAGATCTATATTTTAGCAACTTTTCAAATTATTATTTTTTATATCACAAAATCTGTATAAAATTCTATACTGTACAATATATGAAATGATTTTATTATACTGATCATTTCAAAAATTACAACATTCTGTACATTAAACTCAATGACTTTTTTTTTTCTTTCTTTCTTTATATGTGGGCTTTGCTTACGAGCATGCCGCAAGTAGAAAAATCCAAGATGTATATGACGAAATGGCAGGTCAAATCATGAGAAAATGAATGTCCTTAACAGTTAATAAAGCACGCACACAACTGAAACTGTACATTATCGACTGAAAAAACGAAATCTTCAAACATCTAAAAAATAATATTTATCAATATTTGATGCGAATAAGTTAGCTCTGCTCGAAGAGACATCGCCACTTGACTTGTGTGTAAGTAAAAAAACAATTATAGAATAACACAACCTTCATTTTTAGTGTTCAAAAAGAAAGTTTCAAAAATAATTAATTAATCATTTTACAGTTAGAAACTGCTCAAAAATTGTCATTAATGGTAACACTATTTAATGCTCTCGTAATATTTGATTACCAAAAGAGCAAACTTATATTTTAAATTCAATAATAATTATTTTCAGTATTAAAGAAATAACTTACTATCCAACTTATTCGGATGCTTCTGCAGAAAATGTATATCGTAAAAGTTTTTTGTTTCTTTTGTGGGATGTTAGGAATGTAGTCACTTCTGAACCTGAGAAGTTTAAATGGTTTTTATGAATTTAGGAATTTAAGGTATTTTAAATACTTGCTTCATGCTTGATTGTATTGTTTTGTAAATTTTTTAATTTCTTCTTCTCCGTTTTCACTGTGGATTCCTTCATTACTTTAAGATATGCATTGTTCATTTCTTTTCGATTTCATTCGATGTATCCACCCCTCATTCCTCTTCCACCTCTTGGAGCTATTCCCCTAAATATCGGTCGGACTCGCATCATCCCTCGCTGTCCTCTCATTCTTGGGAACGCCTGAAGGAAACCAGGTCCTCCTCTTCCGTGAACGGGAGGAAATGGTTCCATTGGTGGCATATCAGGATCGAGAGGAAATTGTGGGCTATTTCCGGGCCCTTCGTTCCATTGGCGTTTGTGTGCTTGTCCATATAAATCCACACTTTCACTGGGCAATGGAAGACGGTCGTCATGATCTATGAGCATATCACTGTCTAATTGTCCACCGTATCTCAAATCACTATCTCTCGGCATAGGAAGTCCACGACCTCGAACCCTTCCACGAAGGCTGCCTCGTGGACTCGAGTGTGGAGGATATCCGGGTTGATGATCACCATAATCCTTATAATAATCGCTCTCATTTGGCAAGTTGTCATGCTCTTTTAACCATAACTGAGGATGATGATTATTCGTCTCACTGTCATTTCTAGGATGTAGATCGGGATTACCAGGGTCTTCTCTGTAAGATCTCCATTCACCTATCTTCGGATCAAACGGTTTTGCTTTAATTGGAGATCTGGAAAGTTGACGATCATCCAAATCACCAAGTTCACTTTTTTGAAGTGCTGGATTAACAGGTCTAATTCTAATATCCTGTTCATGCATGCTACCAGGTGGTGGTAAGTAGGGTCCTTGTCCTACAGGTGGAGGAGGAAGTTCTTTAGGAGGAAAATGAGGACCTGAAAAAAATAAATATAAATTTTTATCAATAAAATTCATAGAGAAGAACATGAAATTTCAATTCCTGTACATTCTCCTATAAAAATGTAGTGTCTTACCTTCATAATAACCTGGCTGTAAAGGTCTCATCATATGTTCTCCAGAAAATCTTGGACTTCTCATCTGGGGATTCATTTGTAAATAAGGATCTTGAATAGATTGTTCACGTTGAATTGGTTGTCCTATTGGAGGCATTTCCATGGATGTTGGCTGACTCATAACTGCATTTTCAGCTAAAAATCAATTAAAAATTACAATATTGTGAGAACCTGGACTAGGTGAAAGAAAATGAATCAAAATATTAAGAGAAACCATGTCAAGATGATTTTGTCAGCAGCGGTATCTGTCACAAACATCATCACTAAACCTGATATATTTTAAAGCTATATACCAACCAATGCCGAATATTATCGGGCTAGAAATGACTATAATATTAATAATTTATAAGACAATTTGGCACTAGAGTTCGGCATTAGGCACCATCTCTTGATAAATTTCATAATTATAATTTTAATTAAATAATTTAGAACTACTGGAAGAAAAGAATTGGCCCAGAGCGGAACTCAAACCTGCAACTCCTGATTATTGTGCAGATGCATTGCCAATTACACTACTCGGACCTCCAGTCCAATCTCCTCTTCCAGTATATATAATCTTATGTTATAACCATCAACTGTTATTACAATGTTGGTTGGGGATGCATTCAGCACCCACGTCCTGTAAACATCTCCCAAGGCACTCAACCGGCCATCACAAACCCTGGCAAGACATATATAGTTCTAAATTATTTAAATTATTTAATTAAAATTATAATTATTAAATTTATCAAGAGATGGCGCCTAACACCTAACTCTAGTGCCAAATTGTCTTATAAATTATTAATATTATAGCCGTTTCTAGCCCAATAATATTCGGCATTGGTTGGTGTATAGCTGTATCTGTCAACTTTCATACCTGAAAGCATTTCTTCTTACATGTTCTCAGCATCTAAAGAGACACTTTCCCATAACCTTCTAACCTCCTGTCCATATACTGCCATTCTAATATAACAACTAACAGCTAATTTGGTCAGTCATTTACAGTTTCTCAACCGGGCTAGTCAGTTCAGTACCTCCCATATCACCTACTCCAAATTCGGATATATTATCTATTCCATGTGTGAGGATATCACCTACTCCACATCCAAGGATACGCCTATTTCTGAACTGTTCCTATCACCGAACTTTTCCAAGTGTTCCAAGAACTCTCGTGTTTCAAACATTTACAGCAGAACAATCCAAACAATCCCCTAGTCAACAAGCTGCAACTTTATAACCTCAGGTATTTATATCTGCTTGTGATCTAATGTAAATGCTCTCTCTCTCTCTCTCTCTCTCCTCTCTCGTGTAAAGTAGCTGTCTAAATTCTATTTTGTCTTGCTAATGATAGGATGTATATCCTTTATCAAATAATCAAGCATTTGTTTTGTTTACTTGTATCCGAGTGTTTTACTTCCACCACGCTTTATCGTAGACTTCTTCCATCCGAAATCTGACTGCCTATGCAAATGACTGCTCATGCCACCTAATACCAACCTAAATAAACAGCCATCGTGGCTTCTGTGTCTATCAGAAAAGACACTGATGTCATCCTGACAAAGGCATCAACATGGTGCCGACCCTGCGATCACAATGGTGAGGAAGCAGTAGGGGGCACTTCACACATTATCATCACAATATATATATTAAAAATACAAAACTTTGTATTTTATCAATATTTACATTCTGATTTTGAGCTGTCTTCAGTTGGAGGAGCAAGTAATAAGGGTTGTTTGTTTTCCATCCACTGTTGTTGAAATTGCCGTGGAATGGGCTTTGCAAATGGTATTTTCCTTTGAACTTGAGAACGATCTGGTAATAAAACTTCATCATTTCCAAAGTCTAGACCAGGGATAATGGCTGCATCATCTTTCTCAGGTTCTATAAATAAAAATATAATGAAAATTCCACAAGAATAAATTTCTTAAACAGTAATTTTTCTAATATATATAATATAATATATTATATTATATTATATATACAGTATTATATATATATATATATAATAGAATCTCATTTTAACAGATCACTTGGACTGCTGAAAATCATCCATTGTTCTGAGAATCCATTGTATCACGAACCCTGGATATCCCATACACCCTGGAAAATATTTGTTATTCAAAAAATTTCCAGTTTTTAACCTCCTATGTACAGTATAAGAAATACCTGTACTTGAAATTATTCAGTCTCTAGAGATCTCTATTCTTTATTCTATAGTAACACTTATAAGATATATTATGCCCTACGTGTTTACAACAGAGCTGACAGAAACTATATATGTTGTAAGCAAAAGTGAGGCAAATTGCATATGCTCATTAGTATTCCACTTAACTTCATAATTTGTTAAAAATAACTTGTCCCTCTTGGTTTGTTTAGATGCCACTTTTCTCCCTATCAAATACAACAACTACTTGATATTAGCAATGTCATGTAAGCTTGTTCATTTATACTGAAAATTATAAGGAAGATCTCCATAACTTGGAAAGACTTGATGGCCTCACTAAATTTTGACATTACACTTGGACCAGTATCAGAATGTTCATTAGGTGGCTCCTCCTCAATTGTATCAGCCTGCTGACTCTCTTCACATAATTCTTCAATTGTACATATCCTAAATGTAACGAGTGCATTATCAAACTCAACAAATTCCCAGAAACACCCAAATATTAACTAAACATTGAAAAAATGCAAAGTTTATGATAGATGGGACTAGAAAAAAAGCTATAAGGAGGTAAAATTATACTGATTTGGTGGGACCTGGGAAAAAACCCTTATTCTGACAAATCCATTCTTCTACAAATAGTCTGTTAAAACAAGATTCTACTGTAAACTGTAATAAAAACCTTCATTATTCGAACTGTAGTAAAGTCGTAATTATCCAATCTTCAATTATTTGACCTATCACACAATCTATCACAATTCTCCAAGTTAAAGAATACAAAACTACGTAATAGTGTAAACGTTCCAACATTTAAATTAAAAATTTATAACAAAAAGCATAGAATGGTTAACATTCTAATTTGGAACTTTAAACTAAAAACAGATCTGAAATAGGCTTGTGACGTAAGGCAAAAATATTTGTCAGGAGAGTAAAACAGTGCTAGAATAGAGTTAAGGTATTACTATTACTGTGTTTAATTATCTGACCATTGGTATATGTGCCAGATATTTTGAAAAGTATCTGATTAAAAATCTGTTTAGTTTTGAACTGTGTTGAAGCATCATATAGTGATGTTTGCTCTTTCGTATGGAGGTTTGTTTCTGTAAAATCACAAGTTTGGCTTAACTGCTATGCATTAAGTTATGCTTGTAAATGAAGGTTTGCAACAGGTATTCATTTCATTAACAAACCTATCTAACAGTCTATTTCCAAATATGGTTTCACGTTATTTGGATTTTGTTTTTTATTATTATTTAGTCCATTGCCATTTCCATTTAAGCCAGATGATCAAGATGTTATTATATATTATTGTTGAAATTATTTAAAAACTATCATTAATATACATATTAATCAATGAAAACTATTATTTTTACAGACTGCTTGAAGTTTTGTCTCTCATAACTAAACTATATTAAAAGAAATACTTTAATTAATCAATCCAAACAGTTCTAAAAGCATCCAAAATATTACAAATAAAGCAATTTATTATCCAAAATTACCTAATGAGCTTAAACTATCCACCAGACCATGTTCTAATCCCATTCCTGGAATTGTAGGAAGTCCACCAGGTTCATCTAAACACAAAAAAATAGAATAATATATAAAATTTGTTTTAAATGAACTGAAAAATGTTTGTAACAAGCATTTTATGTATCACTTACCATATTCTGCTGTTTCATCCTGACCTTTCGGCAGAGTGTTTAAGTTATACTTATCTCGCATTTTATCGCCAGGACGATTTCTAGTCCAAAATTTACTAAAAAAACAAATTAACAAAATAATTTATAATTTTAACAAAATTTAATTTTATATTTAAAAAAAATAATTACCTTGTATGATCATTAGAACCAGAACATAATATATGACCCAGGGGATGCCAAGCCAAAGACCAAACGCATGAATCGTGAGCTTGTTCCATTCCTCCGACTTCTTTATCAGCTCTGTCACAAATGAATTAAATAAATTAATGCAACAATGTTTTTGAAAACATGAAACAAAATTCTTTCAAACAAAATTAATTTACTTACCCTACGACCCAAAACATAATTGAACCGTCTGATCCTCCGCTAGCAAATAGACTTTCGTGTACTGGATGCCAACCTAAGCCTAGATTCAAAATATAAATTTAATAACTATAAATAAATCAATATTTATTAAATGACTTATATTCTTAAAGAAAAGAATCAGGCTGGAGTGGGATTCAAACCCACAACTCCTGCTTACTGTGCAGATGCATTGCCAGTTATGCTACCCAGACCTTCATCCAACCCTTCATTAAATTTAATAACAGATGGCTCCCTAATGCCTAATCCTCTAGTACCAAATTACTTAGAATTTAAATATTAATAGTAGTGGAAATATAGTCTGATTCATTACGACAATTGTTTGGTTTTCAACGTATTATTACTTATGCTATTAAATATATTAATTAGATTTTTCCTAACTTTGTAAATATAGTAAGACCCCACTTAACCCATCAGTAGAGCAAGCAACCTGAATTTAAATTCTAACCATTTTCCTGTGCTTCCACACTTCACTTACATTAGCCATTGTATGTGCAAAATATCATAAATCAAAACATTGTAAGTCGAGGAGAGTCTGTATTGAGCTGTCCAACCCATCCTCAGGTTATCAAAACCATTTGAATAAGGTCAAACACAGGTTCTAACATTACATATTGTAAACACCACCCCAAACCCCTTGCTAGCTCACTAGCAATCTGTGCTAGACGGATTATACAATCACGTCTATTCCATCCCACCTTATCCAAAAAATCCTACAGTGGATTTTTCATCTTGATCTTCAAAAAACTTTTATATTATCATTTACAAAATTATTAGAAAAAATACTAAATTCAGGAACAAAAAACAAATTTTATTCAGAAAAACGATTCTTGAATTTAGCATTTTTTCTAATAATTTTGAACATGATACCAAGCACAGTTTTTCACTTGATTATCATTTACAACAAATTATTGGATATTAATGTAGTCTTCGAATGAATAAACAGTTTAGTATTCCTCCAGTACTTAATCCTATTCTACATATTTATTTATTAAATTGCAAACTTCTCTCATTATTGTCTTGTTTAAAATTAATTATGTTAAGCATTAGCCATATTGGGAACTTACTCACATTTCACTTTCCCTCACTCTCTCATACAATAACTACTTTCTTTTCATTATACAGTCGACCGCCCTATAACACGGTAGATACGTTCCATTCTTTATGAAATTGATGTTCTAAGAGTCCTTAAATACATGAGCCAATCACAGCCCGGCACGTATGTAGTTTATGGACTACGGCTGTTTGAAAGGTTTTCTTCCATAAAATTAATCAATTCTAGATTAATTTGACTCAACATTTCCAAAACACATATAATTTTTTGGGAATAATCCATATAAACTATGCTATAAACAAAAAATTGTAGGATTACTTACCGAGTGTACACCGTTTGAATTAGTGTACACCATTGCCTAAGCTTGTTTTTGTCATGGAGCTTGTCATCGAATGGCGCTCGCAAACTTCCTGATAAATTATTTGTTTTGCAAAAAATTCACTGTACTTTGGAGACATCATTAATATATATATAATTTTTATGGACATTAAATAATAAATGGTTTTTAGTAGGTCTGCTGCTTGTTTAAACTCAANTTCTGTGAAGAATGGATCGGAGGTGGATCAAATGCACTGTGGGTTAATTACATTATTAAATTAAATCATAAACAAATAAATAAATCTGTATTTAATGGTTTTGTTTCCACCAAATAGTCAGTGTTGTCTGAAACTTAAACTTTATGTTATGCCAAAAAGACCATACTTGAGACAATCAGAAACAGAATGTTTACAGACTACACTGAAGGTTTAGTCTTGAGTTGTTTGCATAGTAATATTGAGAGTATCATGTGGTACGAACCGATTCGGTGCAACTATTTGTCGGCACTTTCAATACATTTATGCTGTTGCAGATGTGATTCGCGAGTAAGCCTCCCGGTCTGGTTGTTTTGGTAATATGTCAAACGTTTTAATTATTTTAAATAAACATTTTAATTGTAACATTTACCAATTGGTATCCACTAGGGTTCCTTTTACCAAAGCCATTTTCTAATAAGTCCATATTTCCGGCGACCAATTACGAACCACGATGCACCGTTTCACCAATACATATATTTATTATTCCATTTGTTGTTACAATTTTAATTTAAACCACAGCTGGACTTATTAGAAAATGACTTTAGTAAAAGGAAACCTAGAAGATACATATTAGTAATATTACAATTAAAAAAATTTAGATTCTACTAATCAAAATATATTTTTCTTGTTTCTTTCAGTGGACACAATATAATATAGTTTGTTTAAAAAGTAACTGTGCAGCGAGAAAGTTGTAATGACATTGAAGTTATATGTACGTTATTGCAGCGTTTCTCAAACTATGAGTCGTGACCCGATATTGGATCGTGTTAAAATTTTAATGGGTTGTGAAATGATACTACCTTCCATAGAAATACTTGTAATACTTGTATTACTGAAATATTCTGTAAGAACTAAGAACATTAGATGCATCCGTTAAGTACCGAAAATTGCTAAGAACTTTTCTCTTATAAGTAATATTATTGTCATTTAGTAATAAAGTTAAGGTCTGAGAATTTGTGTATATGAAATTGATTTCTCTTTTTTATGTTGAATAACATCAAAATAGAAAATCATTACATATAATGTCATAGTCATAATGCTATTTAAGTTGCAATGGTTTTGAAAATACACTGGACGACAAAAAAAATAACGCACCATGAAGGACTTGTTGGATTTGAATAAAAATTGGTATATGACATCGTCATTGCTAGACAGATATATGATTGCAACCATAAAACAAAAACATACTTTATTGTGCAGTAATATGCAATACAGTGCAGGAACTAATATCCTGTTGGGCCGCCTCTAGCGCGGATACAAGCTGTGATACGCCTCGGCATGGAGGCATAAAGGTCGCGAATAATGTTCTGAGGCATATCTGTCCATGCATGATGCAATTGGGACTCAAGATGAGTCAGATCCTGTGGCTGTCGCAGCTGGCGACCCAAGTGGTCCCACACATGTTCGATTAACGATAAATCTGGAGATCATGCAGGCCAAGGAAGTGTGGAAACGTTATGTAGGCATGCTTGGGAGACCGCTGCAGTATGTGGCCGGGCATTATCCTGCTGGAATATGCCTGTCGGAAGCCCTGCCATGAGGGC